CACGCACGCACGCACGCACGCACAAAAGACACCTCGCTTGCTAGCCACTCTGAAGCCGCTTAGACTCTTAGACACATGTGGCAAGGGTCATTTCCCCAGAAGTTCTTCTTGTTGTAAGTGGCATAGAGCTCGCCGCCCAAGGCCAGCTCCAGCAAAAAATACAAAGACTGGTCATAGTTGAAAGTCTCCTCAGAAATGCAACGAGACTGCCCTAGTCCCTACTCTGCACTGCAGCAACTGAATGGTGCAAAGTGTCGTAAAGCTTCACAATGAAGGGAGAATCGCACAGGAGCTGAACGTTCTTCTCGCTGATGACACTGCTTTGCATTCCACTTTTCACCTGCTTTCTTCAGCTGCAAAACTCTCATGAAGCGCATAAGGTGGATAAGGCCCGGGCCACATATCCCTTGCTCAAAGCCTTTAGTGCGTACGTCTCTCCTGTGTTGAGATCCTCCACCTGAGCTGGGACTGGAGGGCACCTTAGACCCTTCGTGAGAGAGACTGCTAAGTCCAAAAGCCGTGGCAGTAGCACGTACCTGGGTTTCGGTTGCCTGGCACCGGCCGGAAATCCTTCCCATTCGCAAACTTCTCGTTCATCGCATCTGGAATCTAGAATGTCTCAGTCTGATACTGTATCTTTTTAACTCTGGGACCGGCCGGTCCCGTCAGATCCATTCCATTCCAGGTCTACATCGCCCTGACACTGACAGCATCTCGCACTGAACCGCAAATATTCAGCTCCTTACTGTGCAGCGTTGCCGTCGGAGCTCTTGGTTTCTAACTGTTGACATCCAGCAACTGCATCGACACCGAGTGGCCATCTCAACTGCGCCAAAACCACCACAGCCCAGCAAGCCAAGCTTCTTCAAATCCTGCAATTCCAGAAAACCAGTGAACAAGATGTCGTGCTGACAGTCATGCAAACAGCTTCTGGCACTGCTCCACTCCTTGAACTTGATCTTCCCGAAGCTGGCCGCCGCACTGGGCGCCACCGTGACCGGCTTCTTCACTGTGCCTGTGCCGTCCTTGCCACGCCTCGTGAGCTCCTGCAAGGCTGCACGCTCTGCACGCTCACCGCGATCCACGGCTGGGGTCCGGGTGAGTTCCTCTCCTCTAAGGATCCAAGGAGGATCTCGAAGGATTCTTTGTCGACCACCAACGTCTGATCACAGGTGCGGCAAATTTATTCCATGAAGACTTCTGTATGTTGTGAGATCCCATCTAAGCTACAGTAATTGCAAATACTGCATGTGCCCTCGCTTATACTGGAAAGATCAGCGGCAGGACACTCAAGTTTCAAGAACAGATTTATGCAGTAAGCAGCTTATGAAGCATGGCAGCATCCCTATTTGTAACTGTTGCGCCGGCGCCGGACCTTTTCTTTTCATTTCATTTAACATTGCAGCAATGCGTTCTCCTTACTCCTGAGCCAGAAGGAGATCATCCTCAGCCTCCTGCAGGAAGTAGCCGAAGGAAAGGGCATCCCACATTGTCCGCTCTTTGGCCCCCATCTTGCTGACTGACCTGGGTCAGGGTTCTCAGGCAAGGAGGGACGACATATTTAGACTTGACCCGTATCATTAAACACTTCCACGGGCTGCGAAGCATCGATCCTGCTAAAACCAACGACGGCCAACAACATAGGGACTCAGACACACAAACTAGCGGCTGACTTGCGAACATGCAGGAGCACGCCCCGCTATTGACCTCTTGCCGTCAGGCAATAAAGATAGACCCCAAACCCACGACCATTGGGGCGCATGTGCTTTTTGGGGGGCGGGGGGGGTACCCCCAGCACGGTCTGGGCCCCCGGGCTGGCAGATTCCAGGGACCCGGCTCCTGGGCCGGTTCTAGGCCCCCTTTGGCTCCATCCGCCCCACCCTGCCCTCCCATGAGGCTCTCAAAACCACTCCAAAATGCGCACCAGACGGTGGCGGGGACACGATACTTGGACTTGGAGGCTTGTGAAGCCAACACTAGTCAGCCTCCTGTCCTGTGGAAAGCAATGTGCGAAGACTAGTCACTTTTCCGCTAAGCCGTAGGCTTGGTCCAAGGGGCG